TACAATTATTATTGTTTCTCACATGTCCTCGCTCTCCGCAACAATTACAAGTTATTGATGACGCGGGACCGTCGGTGGCGGTGCCACGCCCGCGCCGTTCCGACCGGCTGCCTTGCTGCTCGCACCGGCTACGTCCCGCCACCCTGCTCGTCTGCCATTTGTTTGTATAACGTGTACTGCAAATAACTCCTTATTACATGAACGCTCCACCGTCGCAGCGTCGTTAGCTGCCGACTCTAAAGCTACCGCTTTGCTGTATGCCTTTGTGAAGGTTAAATTTTCGTCATCACAAAATAGACGCTGTCTCGTAATCTCAAGAGCTCACCTTTTCTTCTAAATTTGTTTTAAATGGTCAATTTCTAGCCAGATGCTTTAAAGCAACAGCAAACTGAGCTACAGACTCGTCACGTGTTTGGCTCCGATTCCGAAACTTGAACTTCTCAGCTAGAATAGATGGAGTTGGTTGCATTTATTTCCGCATAAGCTCCACTAATTCTTCGTATTTATAGTCCGTCAGTTTCTTGGGATTACATAAATCAACCATTAGTTCATAGGTCTCATCTCCGACACACGCGATTAACGTGGATACTTATAACTCCGACTTAACATTGTTAACCAAGAAATATTGTCCCATTCTTTCAGTATATGTTGTCCATGACCCGGAACTTAGGTAAAATTCTCACAACTTTCCTATGGACATTGTGATTTGTGAAGTCACTTAAATTACGTAAATTCGAGAAATACCGACTGCGCCACTGGAGTGTATTAAAGAAGTAAACACACACGTTCCTTACAATGGTTTATTTCAAACTGCTTTCCTTACTTATCTATGCGTTTGTTTATACAATAATACTAACATAAACATACACTACTTACATAATTTATAAAATGTAATTTATATAAGTACCCTGGGTATATGATTTTCTATTTATGCTATATTTCTCATAAAATCACATTTTTAATTTCTGTGCATCTACCATTTTTTAGCTCTGCAACGCCCTAAGGTCGACTTTGAGAAAATGCCTACGGCATTAAGTCCGCCTTTGTCACATTTGTGCATGAAGTATAAAATAAAAATATGTTAGAATACATTGCGACATTATCCCTCAATAGTATTCTATAGGACATTATACTATGAAAATCACTAAAACAGCCTAAGCTGGCTGTTTCAAGTTAATTTACGGTTTTTTCTTCTAGTCTGTTTCACTAGTTATCAACATACGGCCCTATTGAAGCTTAGGTTCAATTCTTTTTTCGATTTCAACAATGCTCTGACAAAAAAAATTAAAAAGCGTGTAGCGAAACCTTGATATTTTTAACGTGAACGGTCCGACAAGCTGCACCCTGCGATCGCTAACTCGCCTGTCCAGCGTAAAAATTATGGACCAACCCTCGAAATCATCAGTTGTGTCTGCACACAACAAATGTTTATTAATTTCTTTTCATGATAAAAAATGTCTTATTTTTACCTCACACTGAGCTCAAATCAGCAACGCCAATGTACAGATATTTAATGTATTATGTATGTATATTGAGTATCTATGTGTATAATTATATATATGTCACTATATATGTATTTTACTGTTTTACAGAGTTGAATCTGTTCCAGTCTTTTCGTAAGTGTAGATACTTATCATTACTTTTAATTGAAAACAATTAAAATTTAGCTAATTTGTATCCTTTGCTCCTATCAACATTTCGTCAATATGAAATACGGTATGAAATAGTGCTTAAATTATCGCGATGTAGATGAAAGGGTACCTTTTAGATGATAGACGTTAGCGAACAAAAGGTTGGGTTTAATCTGGGACATAACCGGTAAGCTATCACCAGGCCTCCGATTGAATGAAAAGCCGGCAACTAGCATTTACCAGGGATTAAATCTCAATTAATCTAAGTGGTCCCTGATATTAGAGGAAACAAGTTTGAGTTTATTAATCGCGGAATTGAAAAAGTAGAAAAAGTGTTGTAATACAAATTCACGCTTTGTTCAATCTTTTTAAATTTCTAAGGAGTATTCAATATAAACCGGAAGTTTGGTATCGATAAAAATATGGACTTTTCGACTTAATTACATTAAATATAATAATTATGAATGCTGAAGTCAAAACACATATCTTTCTTAATTTCTTTAGTGTTGTTAGACATAGAGAAATTTAAATTTTGAAACATTATAATAATAGTAGGAGTGTAGTATTTCTAAGTTCTAGCTATATAACTAAAGTGCTCATTACAATAGAAATATTCTATAGTCATGATACAAGTACATCGATAGCTTTAAATTACTTAAGGTTAATATAAACTTAATTAAAATGTAACACTTTACCTATTCAAATATTAATCTTAAGTAATTAGTAGTAGTAGTAGTAGTAATTCCGTTTTAATTAGACAGCCTAGAAAAAAATGCATTTCTCTTCTAATTTAATTAGTATTCCGTATTCATATGTTATTCGTTTAAGTAAATGTGGTTTCTGAGAAGATGAATAATCAAACTTGGGTATTCTTATTTTTTCTTTCAGTGAATATATACAGAAACATTAATGTAAGTTAAAAATATCTAAAACCTATACATATGTGTTGTTCTAGGGTGCATATGTACATAGTTATGATAACTTCTACTAATGACTACAAAATGCAAAGAAGTTATAGAATAGCATTATAGTGCAAGGAATTGGAATATAAACACAACACATTAATAAATGAAAACTGACCTTAAATAACTAAAAAGATATTATTTTTTTTAAACAACTCCCGCACTATGAATAAATCGTGTGTCGCGGGGGACTTTACAAATTAAATTACTCTAAAGTCCCAGCTTAGTTTTAATCCAACAATTTCAAATCTATACTGAACAATAAACTAGCAGTGCTATATTATATTGAATAACAACGATCTTGAAAAAATAATCTCAAATTAGAAAATTATGGGCTTAACTCGTTTTAGAGTGCCGTGCCGTACATTAAAAGGAAAAGCGAAACGGTAATAGAATCTGCAAGATTGAACCTCATTACCTCGTCCAGAAGTTTTTGTTGAATTACAGAATGTTTACAGAAAAATGTCACTTAAACTGTTAAATTTCATACATCAGTCATACCGTGTCTTCAGCAAAAAAATACCCTGTTATTTTTAATAGGTATAATATGAGCGTGACTTGTGTTTTAACGTGTTTAACATCTAAAGCATCTGTTTCATTGCGTTGAAAAAATGTGAGTGGATCGTTTAGGGCCCTCTACACCCTATACTCACCTACAAGATGTAGACACATCAACACAGATCTCCGATTGATACAGGTCCTCCATCAATCTAAAAGCACAAAATGCGCTAAACTGTCTCATATGAGGTACTATAGCGCCCAGACTAAGACGTGTCAAAGTATATTTTTTGTAAGCCTTAAAGTGGCTCTGGCATTTGTTACCTTATTCACATAGATATAGGTATTAAAAACCATTCAATTTTTTTAATATTTTTTATTTTAGATGTGAAGGTACAATGTTGGGTTTTCTTTTGAAACGATTTCCTGTCAACGGCATTGTTTGCCCTTTTTTTTTTTTTTTTTTTTTTTTTTTCCGTGCGGAAATCCCCTCGGATACCACCTGTCGGTGGCATGTCGGACTCGAACCGACTGAGAGCGCCCATTCGATTTTTTCTCCCCATAAAGCTGCATACCTAATTAAATTATATATGTCTTTACAATCTCCAGCAAAATTGGATCTTCTCTTTGATTGTCCGTCGAATCCACAGAAATCGTAATAATTTAATAATAAACAAATAGTAATTTTGTATGGTCGATTCATTCGTGATCAGATATTAATCGTGCTTCGCATCCTAAGCTAATTTACAATTTACTAGACTACATTGTCCAATTGCGTCTTAGTAGTAAGCTGATGGGGGACTCAGGGGGAGTTGAGGATCACCATGGGTGACGGTAGTGATTTACCATCAGATTCCCGTCTACTCGTTTACCATAAAAACTCACCATAACTTTGTGTTCAAGTAAATTTGCAATTATGTTCTTACTGACTATATTTAATCAAAATGTTAGCAAATCCGGCAAACGCAGCGTGGGTCCGGTGGTCACAAGGGGGTCGCGGGAAGCCGTTGGATGCGGGCAGCACAGGACTGGTTGTTGTGGTGAACCTAGGGGAAGCCTATTTCCAGCAGTGGACGTCTTCGGCTGCGCAAATGATCATTTTATTTTATTTAATACTTAGGTTCTTCACAGCTTCATGATGACGATTCATGACATAATAGACTTACTTTACATTTCTGTCAAGCGCCAAGAACAACTAAGTAATAATTTATGACTATCCTGATTTCGAGAAGAAGCGCATTATATAAAGGAACAGGGAAGGATTTAGAAAGTAAATGTTGATGAATACAGATCTCCTGCGTCAAAGGTCACTGCAGGCGTTCCCCGTGGTTCTATTCTAGGCCCGTTTTAGTTTCTGATATATTTATTAATGATATACCACAAGTTATTTCAACACAGGTTACTTTTTTAAATCAAACCACAGCATCCTGTCAATAATGATGTACCTAAGCAAAATTATTCTCTCTTTAAAATAGTGCAGTGGTTCAATGTCAATGTGATGATAGTCTTTAGACGTCTATATGAACATTCGGAAAGGTAGAAAGATCGAGATCCATACTCTTAATAAAGATTTTGATCTACTTATAGAGGATAGCGCTAATTAGGCACTGGTGTTTAAACAGTTCACCTTGTTTTAAAAATAACCTGTTTTATTGAGGGTATATTTTTCAAAGCGTTTAATAGACACAAAGAGACTTTAAGGATCACTGAGCAGACCTTTTATATCATAGGCGGTCACCCATAATGAAATGATTAGTGATTCAAATAATTGACGGTCAAATTAACAAATAAAGCTTATCAATTATGTTGTTAATGAGGCCCTCTAATACGAGATACTTAGATTGACCTTTTTATGAAATATTATCGTGTTAATTGTTCACAGGAGGACAATTTGTGCGATTCGATCAAAATGTCCTACCGGCCAGGTAACCAATGAGCACCTATGAGGTCCCTCTCACCAATAACTTACTAACTCTACAGTTTGTAGCTTGCATTTTAATATAATAATTTTCCTGACCTGGCTTAAGCAGGCTATGAATTTTATGGGCAGGTTGTAGCTAAAATTCCCTGTTTTTGAATAAGTTTAATAGTTTTAATCATTATAACATATAAAAAAGATAATTTAACAATCTATTTAACCATTTGAAAAAAGGTTAAAGATCTTCAACGGCTTAATAGATTCTTGAATTAAAACTAAGAACACCCTTGATTAAACACACAGACCATGCACTAAATCCAATCATGATAAAAGTCTTTCAATCCCTTTACCTGATCTATACTTGACTATATAAACGATGGCTAAATCATATCAATTTTTTTTTTATTTCGTATATGTAGCGGAAAAGCGTATAAATTATAACTTCCTAACAACCGACTCACATAACCATCGCATATATTATCTGGGCTGCCAGGAAGCCATAACTTTTTTTTTAATACTGTTTAAAACAATAAAGGATGCTCATTAAAGTTAGCGCTTACTGACACAAAAAGCATGAGTGAAAACTAAAAAAGATTTTCATTACAGAGCTACCTAATCATGAATTACTTAATATCACAATCAGCAGCTAACTCGTATTTTAGATTGTACACAGTAAATTGTTCCAATTCTAAATGATGATCCTTTAAATAGGGTTTGTTTGACGAAGAGGAATAGCAAGCCACAAGAGAATTCGCAACAATTCCGTGTGTTTATACTCATCGTCAACCCCTTAATACCAGGCGGCTAGACTATGAGTTTATTTACCGAGTACCGAGGAGTTTGATCAATAGTTTATCTATAGCAGTATATCGAAGTTGTATGCAATTTCCGTATTGTTAAAATACTGCATTGAGACAAATACTAATTTTTATTTATTTATTTATATATTTTGTTTATTTACGTCACAAATTTATGCTGCGGGTTTATCAATCTGCACCATTATTTTAAGATGCTATAATTTTGTGTATATATAATATATGTATGTGTATATAATATATATATGTGTATATAATTTATTAAATTAACACAAAATTATAGCATGACATTGAAATGTAAAATCACGAGCCTGTGGGCAATTATTGCCCTTCTTAAACCTTTTTCTCACGCTTTTACAATACTAGTTGAATAAATGCCATCAGTCTAAAATACCAATGAAATGTAAATTTCATTTATGCTCTTATTGATTGGAGTAAATAACGTAAATACTTTTTACATGTTTTGAATATTAAAATATAATAAAACGTCCAGTAATTTGAAATTTGTATATCCATTATTATTCAGTCAACCATATCTGGCTCAGTTTTCATCACCACGTATGTTAAAGCTAATAAGGGACAAAGTTTCAAGTGTTTAAGCCCATTTCACTTTGCAGTTGGTTTCTTGTTGCTCAAATTTATGAAGGGACGCACCACTTATATTGTACCCACCCGATTGTAGAAGGATCTTAATATCTTCAGAAATAACTTAGTGTTGTGTTCTTGCACCAGTAATGTAGTGAAACTTTTAAATGAAAATACTAGCTGTTGCCTGCAGTTTCGCTTGAGTAAATTATGAAAAATTGTCTTAAAAATATACGGTTTTCGCTTTAGTGTAAGCATCAACACTACCTAATATTTCATTATCAGACCTTTACCTGACGATAGAACAAATAGATAGCATAGTCTTTAAAAACATTAAACAACACATTGTGCAAGTGTGTTCAGGTAACGTACTTTAAAACAAGACGTAATAAGTACTTTCTCCTTCTGTTTGAAGTCGGTTAAACTGGCACTGTAAGGGTATAGTGGCTTACCTACTTATTCATTGTAGCCTATAAGAGCAAGTAACTAAAGGAATTGAACATGATTTTCATATAATATTTGGCAGAATTAAATGCTATTGTAGATTCCACAAGGAGTTGAATAGCATTGGAGTGCTATGAATATCTGTGTTTTGTCCTACAACCTTGAACTGACAGAGACACCACGAAATTTAACGATGTCTTCTAATTGGGTAGTATTTCAGAGTACGGTCGACAGAGACCTTAGAAGAATCAAAAGTTAAATAATTAACATTATTTGTGATCCTGATAAATATTACTCGTCGTTGATTTAGATCATTCTGTAATACTAACTTTTAAACTTTCACATTCTATGATGTAAAAATATCTATGTCTACGGGAACTTATACGTTCATGATATAGAGATACCGTTAAATTGCTCGACGTTTCCACTTGATTGCACTAATTCGATCTTAAAAAAGTCGGCCAAGCGTGTGTCGAGTAACATAGTCGTTAAAAGTAACATTCGGCAGACTTGCCTACAGTTCAAGTTAAGTTTAATCCAGTGATTGGTTCCTACTTACAGTGCATGTTCTGCAATCTCTAATTTGCTAGTTTTACGGTTCTTTACAGGATCGATATGTTCTTGACACTTTCGGCCATAGTCGGCTTTGTTGGAAGTACGTAGGAAACATTGCTACTTCATTGCCTACATTGTTGGCGCCGTTAATTCCCATATTAACTCCCGGAATTATATATCACTAGCTGTACCCTCTTTACTTTGTTTTCCTGTGCGGAAATCCTGCAACGCTGCGCTGTGGTACACAGTAGCGCGATACCTAGTAGTATAGTGTATAACCTTTGATCGATGATTTTGCTTTATATAAACTATAATGGTATAATGTTTATCATAATTTTTATTTTTTTTCTTCTTTAAAAAAGACAACTCCTGCATTAGGAATATATATCCTGTGTCGCAGGTCGCAACTTTACAAACATACATGAAACAGACACAAAGAACACCCAGACTCATAATAACAATTTGTGGATTACACAAAGTGGTGTCACATGTGGGGATCGAACCCACAACACACAGCGCAGTAGGAAGCGGCGTGGTGACCGCTTAAACTACTAATAGTTCAAGTTCTGCTCAGTTTGAAACTAGATGACTTGAGTGTCAGTCGTCCGAATATTATTATTATTAATTATTTATGAAATATACGTAGTTTGATATGAAATCCAAACGGTTAACATTGATCAGTAAAGATATAAGACCTAAAAAATAGTCTTTTGTTATACTGTGTGGAAAATCACCTTTACAAGTTAACAGACCAACAGGGATAATAAATATAATTATCTCAATAAAAATACCTCAGAAAACGGGAATTAGACTTGTATTAATACTCATTAAAGATTCGTCAAGACATAAAATGAAAGTTAAGATAGTTCTTTAGGATGATAGCATTGTGAAATGTGAAATGTCTAAAATGGGTGCTTGTTTTCAGGTGGGAAGTGGAGAGCGCGTGGTGCGCGGTGCGGGGGGATGCCCGTGCGCAAGGGGCTGCTCGCGCCCCAGAACACCTTCCTCGATACTATCGCCACACGCTTCGATGGCACACGTGAGTATTGCAACTAGTTTATATTTATTCTCAATATGTTAATCTGTACAGATCTTGACTGAGGTTGTATTTACGTCAGTCAAATTTATAGACTAATATTTTTGTTTTAATTTAAGTAAATACTTATAACATATAGTGTGCCTAGATTGAAACTCTAAAACATATCATGATTTATTTTTCAGGTTAGAAAATCTATTAGTAATTTTGATTTTAAGAGGCGATTATTTTAATACATTTTAGCTATCTTGCAAAGTGACGCAAGCACAGAAGCGTGGTAGAGTTCTCAAAGGTTAAAACTCTAATGCCTCTTCAGAAACTCCACTGAGATTTCATTTCGTTACTCTTTATACATTTAGACTTATAACAAGTTTTTGTTTGTTAATAAAACTTTTTGAAATCTCATACTAATGTCATATCTTGTCTGCGTCTCCCTAAGGAGTTACACAGAAGTGAATTAACTGTACTTCGACTTAAATTGATAAAACAGTTACCAGAAACTGAATAAACGTTGGACTTTAACTTGTTGTATAATTATACACAGGTACAGACATAGATAAGGCCTTTATAGCACAAAAACGGTGCATTAGGTCCATATGTGATATCGCTCCGGACGTATCTTGTAGGCCATATTTTAAAAAACTAAAAATCCTCACGTTACCGTGCTTGTACATCCTCGAGGTATGCAAATTCATAAGACAGCACCCTCGAACATTTAAGCAAGCGAAGGATGTCACCAAAAGGAGCAACATTAGAAATCCAAATAGACTTGTGTTGGACATGGTACCTAGGTCGAAAAGAATTCAAAAAAATTGTTACGCGATGTGCATTAAAATCTTCAATAAAATCCCAGAACGATTTAAAGAACTACCATTAAATAAGTTCATTCCAGCCCTGAAAGATTGGTTAATTACAAATACATTTTATTCGGTCAAAGACTTTCTGAATGGTGGAGAGTAGTAGGTATAATTAATAAAAGTGAAATTATAATCAATACACAAACACTGATGAATAATGATGATAATAATAATAATAATATATAATAATGTTAAATTAATAATAATAATAATAATGTTAAATTTGCATGCTATCTTTATGGCTAAATGGGCCTGTTCGCAATATATTGAACCTTTAATACCACAACATGTACCACCCCATTTATAGCAAATATATAATTTGAATTTGAATATAAATTTTATATAAGTTTTGAATTGTGTAATAATCTCAGACTGATTATAGTAGAAAAGCCTGGCTTGGTATCAGAACAGATATGCATATATATTTCATAATTGTTATTGCGTCAGTTTAATAATAATTTTGAGATCTGTAATAAGTTCACAGCGTACATACTTTAGTACACTTTTAGAAATCAGTAGAATTCATTAAATTTCTATAGGGATTGTAGATGACTGACTAAAGTAAGACAATAAATGAACCTTGTGTCCTGTCAAGTAGTGTGATCTGAGCTTCATCAGAGAACTAGAGCAGTAACAGACATTAGCAGTAAATAACCAGTAAATAATATTAAAATAAAGTCATTTTTTTGTAAAAGAACATACTCACCCTCTCAAAAAAATTACTATATAAGAAAGTATAGAAAAACATAATCCCCCGTTGACATCACAGCAGCGCCACTACGACTACACGTCTCTGACAAAATCCTAATCCATGTACGAAGGTGACCTTCGTAAATAGATTAGGATTTTTTTACAGTGTCTCTTATTGCCCTTGTAGGAAGACTTAGAAAGTAAATCTTTTGAACATGAACACATGAACTGAAAACTAGTGTCTTTTGATTGTTTTAGAGACAATAAAAAAGGAGTAACCTAAAAGTTGAAAAGGTATTCAATACATGAATCTGGAGTAGTTTATGTTTTTTATGGTATAGTTGGTAATCAAGCAAATGGGTCACCTGATGGTAAGTGACTACCGCCGCCTATGAAAACCTGCAACTCAAGGGACACATGTTGAAACTTTTTACACAAACTCTATCTTTCTATTTAGCGTTCACGCCTTAAATAGTCAACCGATCACTATGAAATTTTGCGTCTAAGTTGTCAGGGGTCAGAGAAAGAAAAAGCTTTTAGCTTCACAAAAAAAAAGTTAAAATTATCTAGGGAAAGAAATAAACCTTATTTGGACAACCATAAGCTATGTACCATAAGCAAAATCTTTTTATTATAAATATGAAATGTTATGTAAATTATATTTAATATTAGGTATCTGAGGTACATCTTAGATGGTATATTCCAAAGTTTTGAATATCCCTATATTCAAAACCTTGGAATATAAAGAACAGAATTAAAAGTACGCAGTATGTATAGAAATATATTTTCGAAATATTGTTTCCGAGGCGTCAAGAAAAAAAATTGAACGCGACAAGAGTCTCCGGCAAAAGCTTCTATGTATGTATATTCTTACGTCGCGTCGGTTACTATAAACTATAATATGTAAAAAAATACAGGTACATGAAATAAAAATCAACAAACAATCAACTGACAAAAAAAGTAAATTAAAAAAGAAAAATAATACCTCTAAATAGCCAAGCTTGCAAACAAATTAGCAGGTAGGTAACTAATTTTGAGCCGGCATAAAACAACAAACACTACACCAAAATCCTAACACACTTTTTTATATTACGTAAATTTGTTTCTAATTTATTTCTACACATTTCTATTTCTGCACGATTCTAATTTAATTTACCAATTGGTATATACGATTCATGTGCGTACGTAAGACTTAATTAAGGTAACACTAACTATTTTTGAACCGATTTCAATAAGTAAGATTGTTACAAATATAGTGAATTCGAGGGAATTAAATAGAAACTAAATTATCAATTGGATTAAAGGACAACTTTTATGAAAATATATATTTAGGATCCCAGCAGAAACAAGCTATAGACTTCTTCTATAGTTTTTTTTCTGCTTCAGTATCGTGTTTCAGTCTTTTTTACTGTACTAATTGACAATTGTCATATAATTATTACTTTACTTCTATTGACGTCGCTTTTCACAGAGATAAGATTGAGTACGTTGTCCCATCTGCGTGTCTGTTATATTTTGTTTTTTTGTATGCAGTCACTACTTCTCTAGACCATATGTGTGCCTTACGAAATTCACGAATCGTCGTCCGTTTTGGCGCTAGAAAATCCCTTTGGATCTCCGGCTCCTTAAACTCAGGCGCCCTACTCCGAGGAGGAGCCAGACCATGTTATTTCAGGTCCCCCTCGGATCGACGCTGCGCCTAGTAAAGCCTTATCCCGATGAAAAAGTAGGGATAAATGACCAACACCAAACACCGTAAACATCGTCATGTCCTTTGGCTTGATATTCTACAAAAGCAAACGGGACTTATAAACTGTCAGGAAAGCAATTATATAAATCCCTTATTCTAGCCGGATGGCCAAAATCATCTCCTCCAAAGATTTTCATACCTAAAATACAAGCATCAACTGTTGTTATGAATTTAATAATAAATTACTGAGTTGTTTTCTACAAAGCTTTCTTAATTAAACTTCAATTAAACAGAACTTAGGAGTTGTATAATCGAATAAGTTTATTGAGGGTAAAATTTACTATAACAGGGATGAAAAACTAGCAAATAACAACATGTTTTGTAAGATTGAAAGTGACAATCGTTTCCTCATTTTGTCTTGATTTCTTACAATCGACTAGTCAGTGAAGTTTCTTTCAATAATTGACTAAACTACTAAACTAATTGTAACAACACTCATTGACTAAAATGTTTGCCTTAAAGACATATAGAAGTCAGAGATTTTTCGGTAAAATTCAGTTAATATTCTATAAAATAATACATATTAAAATACAAGATTTTGAGCCATTAAAACTACAGTGCCAAAGACAATATGTAACGATTTGTAATTGTTATATATATTGTCATATTTGTTTTTTCGCAATAACGACAACAGGAAAAGGGAAATCTAAAAATTTATTTGCAATCACAAATTGCACATAAATAACGTAAGATCAGTAAGATTACTATTTGCACCATTCCAACCATTGAAAGCATTTCGCTTTCAATGGTTGGAATGGTGCAAATAGTATCGCTGTATATGTACCATAAATTACTAATCATAATTACTACCCAACACAGGCTATAGAAATGACATGATGAAAGTAATGTTGTTTTTAGTCCCTATAGGTCTGATATATAGAAGTCAGAGATTTTTCGGTAAAATTCAGTTAATATTCTATAAAATAATACATATTAAAATACAAGATTTTGAGCCATTAAAACTACAGTGCCAAAGACAATATGTAACGATTTGTAATTGTTATATATATTGTCATATTTGTTTTTTCGCAATAACGACAACAGGAAAAGGGAAATCTAAAAATTTATTTGCAATCACAAATTGCACATAAATAACGTAAGATCAGTAAGATTACTATTTGCACCATTCCAACCATTGAAAGCATTTCGCTTTCAATGGTTGGAATGGTGCAAATAGTATCGCTGTATATGTACCATAAATTACTAATCATAATTACTACCCAACACAGGCTATAGAAATGACATGATGAAAGTAATGTTGTTTTTAGTCCCTATAGGTCTGACCTATGATTCCTATCTGATATTCTTATAATTTCTATAGATATTGCATCTACATAATATTTCTATCACATTAACCTTATTCACACTTCATATTCGGTACCATTTGAAGTCTTGTAGTATTATTAGTAATTTCAACGAGATAAAACAGAAGTCAGAAAGCGATGCGCGTAAATTGCGTGTTATCTTATGAAACCGTTTCGTAACTATATACATGTTCCTGGATTGTAATTAACGTTCGCATTCCCACCTAGTGCAGCTTCACTGCTAAATATGAATTTAAACCAAACCATTCCTCGTAACGGAGGAAATTAATCGTCACACTAAACACGCACCGAAGTCCAGATTTACTAAAAAAAGAATTGTTGTTTTTTTTAAGACCTACAATAATTGATTTTGTTTTATTCATTTTGTTACCTGGTTTTTAA